TCCCTGCCCTGGTCCTGCTGGCCACACTGTTCCTGATGCAGGCCAGGGTGCCATTGGCCACCCGTGCACACTGTTGGCTGATGTTCATCCAGCTGTTGACCAACACCCCCAGGTCCTTTCCTGCCAGGCAGCTTTACCAGCCCCTCACCCCAAGGCTGTAGCACTGGAGGGGGTTGTTGATACCCAAGTGCAGGACCCGGCACTTGCCCTGGTTGGACCGTGCTGGGGTTTTCCCAGACTGGGACTGTGAGCAGAGCTGCTGCAGCGCTGGGCAGGAGTGTCAGAGCATTCCAGAGTTGTGGTGCTGTACACATGCCAAGTTGGTGTAACAACTGGCTTATCACTTGCACGTGGGCTGTGAGAACCCCATAACAACTCCTTCTTTTTTTGGGAAATCTCCAACCCCGGCATGTTCCGGTGGAAGCCTGCAGTCGCTTTAAGCTTCACCCAGGCGTTGGGTTCACCCATTCAGCAGCCACTGGGTGCCTGCAGGCTGCCCGGCGGCGGGCAGCAGGAGCTTCTCGCGACTGCCCCCGTACAGGGAAGGAGGTTATTTATGTGCCCTGTCCTGATGGCTTGTTTTTTAACCATTCTGTAGGTGATAAAAAGAATGATCAAGTGTTGTTCTTTACTCAACTGTCACACCCAGGTAAGAGGTGGAAGATGGCATCGAGTTAAACATCGTTTATAAATATTGAATGTTAAAGGACGGGGGGAGAATGTTCTAAAAAGTAAACCCCAGTTTTTCCTTCTGGACACAGTCTGCTTAAAATAGATTATTTTCTCTTGCTTCTAAGACACCAAAAGGTAAATATATACTCAGAAATATTGTAAAAGGTGGAAATAGTCTGGGTTGGGGGTGTTTGACCCATTTTTCTCTTAGGCTAGAGGTGATTGTTGAGAGTGTTTTTGGTAGAGGGAGTACGGTATCGGTGGGAGGCGCTGGGCACCTTCAGGATAACCGTGTGGCTGTTGCAGCTCAGTGGGATTGTCCATTTTCCAGGAAGGACCAAGGCTTATACACAGGGCTCTGATTTGAAGAGCCGTTAAATGCGTTCAGACATCTGGAAGGCAGGTTCTGCCCTTCCAGACTTGAGGAAAAACACCCTTTTCCTTCCTCTTAGCTACTACTGTTGTTGGCGTTAGGGCGCGCCCTCGGGGTCCAGGCACTCAGAGCTTTGAGCTGGGGGAACAGGCACAGGGTTAGGCCTAGAAAGGGGCGAGCGGTGCGGGAGATTGTGGTGTTTGGGGAATTGAGGCTGTGCCGGTCACCCAGAGCCTTCCCTTACAGGTAGCGATCTTGTGCCAGTTCCTGCGAGAAGTCGACTACAAAACTGCCTTCAAGGCACTGCAGGAACAGAACAGGTAACAGCCACAACACGGTTTGCTGAGGGCTGGGCGATGCGGGAATGTGGCGGTGAGTGACCCCTGTCCGTCCCTTTCAGCCATGACGCCATGGATTCCTACTACGAATACATCTGGGACGTGACCATCTTGGAGTACTTGACATGTATCCTTTCACTGCGCTCCCATGGAAAGCTCCTAGTGGATGCTCCCAGCGGGAAAAAGCCCCTTTCCTACCCTGGTGGTGTTCCTTGACCCACCCTCAGATCTCCACCACAAAAGGGGTGAGACAGACAAGCGGCAGATAGCAGTAAGTTCCTGGGAAGGGGGGGGTGGGATTTCCTTAGTGTCCTTTGCCGGAAACCATCTTCGAAAAACTGGAAGTGGCTTTAATTTTCTTGCACAATTCTTCCTGGGGGCTGGATGCCACTGTGATGACGTGCTGGGGGGGGCACAGCGGTTACAGACAACCCACCCCTTGCACTAGCGCTGCCATGTAAGGACCCGGCCGGCCTGCAGGGACTGACGCTGGCGGCGTTCTCCCCTTCTTCCCAGATCAAAGCCATCGGCCAGACGGAGCTGAACGCCAGCAATCCCGAGGAAGTCCTACAGCTGGCGGCGCAGAGGAGGAAGAAGAAGTTTCTCCAGGCGATGGCAAAACTCTACTTCTAGGCTGATGCTGCTGTAAATATCTGTGCAAGTGGGGAAAGCACATCTCTCAAGACTTTATTTTTTAAAATTCATTTAAACTTTTATACAACATTTACAGTCTAGTATCTTTCTTTTTAGAAATAGATGAAATCTTATTATAAACCCCTTATTTTTACAAGCTGTACAGAAGGCGGGAAGCAACTTCCGCTAGTTCCACAATGGCTTGGTTGAAGAAGACACAGATTCAAGTTTGCCAAGAGCTGGAGTTTAATGTGGACGGGGGTGGCAGTTGACCCTCCGGGGCAGCTTCGGGGGCTGCCGAGCATCACATCACACCTGTCCCTGGGTGCAGGGCACCAGCAGGAGCACCTTGAGCGAGGGAGGAGGAGTGATGTGCACCTTTCCCAGTACTGTCCCTTCATCACAGGAGTGAGTCAGAGGTAGTGAGTAGTCTGAGGAAAACAGTAGTTAATGCTGTTTATAAACACTGATAAAACACAGCTCCACAGTTAGTTTAAAACACTGTTCCTAGGCCACAAGTGGTTGTCAAGTACCAGCAGCTCAGGCTTTTTCCATACCCTCTCCAGTTCTGGGGGGCTGGGCCTTAGAAGATGGAACTCCATCCTTCCAGGACCATCTTCCAGTTCCTTCAGCAGCAGGCTCTCCGCTCACCTGAGGGCAGCGATTCGCTAGGAGCGAGGCCTGGGGCAGCCCCAAAGGACCATCATGAATGTATTGGCATCGTGCGGAGTGGGGGAGGGCTGGCTACGCTGTCCTGCACAGGCAGAGTGGTTTCGGGAGACTGAGCTGCTTACCCCTAACACTGCTCCCGGGTGACTACCTGGCAGGCAGCAAGCTCCGGCCTTACCGAGGAAAGACAAGGAGAAAGGAGGCAAGAGGAGGGAATATGTACAAGCTGTCACTAAGCTCTCCCGTAGGGCTAAAGCGGGTTTGACACAAGCAGACAAATGTTGCCGCTCAGCCATGGTTGGAAAGTTCTTGACGTTCATAACATGGGAATGGTCAGAGCTGAACTATGGTGTGGCTGAGAGGGGGCTGAAGCAGCCCAGGCTCCTGGGACGGCGTGGATCTAAACGTTCACTGAGTCCGGGAGAGGACACTGGTCCCAATTTCCATCTGCTGCCGTTAGACGCTGCGTTTGCTGCCCAAGTCTTGAAGAGCATGAAGCACCTTTAGCGTGGTTGTGTTCTGAAGCACCAAGTCCTGTTTCGGGAACTGTTCCTGACAGTGGCTGTCCATCACTTCTTCTCTGTGCTTTTGGGAGGGGTTATTATTCCCCCTGTCGACACAGGTGATAACTGACCCGGGGCAGCAGACACTACTCCGCTGTTAACTTCTTCCTACGTGTTGGGGAGGAAGATGACAGTTAATACCTGTGACACGCTCTACTTTACCCGTACTGTTCAGCAGCGCCTCCTCACCCTGCTAGTAAAGTACTCCGGAGCTGGGATACTGAACGAACAACCAAAGCCATGCTACCTAAGGGTTTCTCTTTTAAACGCTTCACCAGTACTTCGACACCCAAACTGCAAATCCACAAGCCACCTACCAGCATGTCCAAGTAATTCGTGTGGGTTTGGATATTGTGTCGATCTTCCGCTGCAACCTTCTTGAAGTTCTTCAGCTTGGCGGGGACTTTTTTCACCACGCTCACAAAGGGAACCATCCATTCTACGCACTCCGAAATGCCATCCCAGTCCAAGCCTAGAGGGACAGCGACACAGTAAGTCATGAAGGACGCGCACAGCCTTCCAGTATGATCAGAGATTTTACATCAACAGCGATACTGCAAGATAAAAGCTCGGATCCATCCCTCCAGCTTTTCCTTGCGCTCGTCAGGCAGAAGCGCTGTGGCAGAGGAGGGTGAGCACAGGCCTCCTGGGCAAAGCAGCTCCGGCCACGAGGCTTCCTCCTGCAAGCCAGGGGAGGGCAAGGTGACTTCTGTCACCCCGAGCATGAGGCTTCCGGTTCACGACGCTGTTGTCGCCCTCCCTTACAGTATCTCAGGCAAGCGCTGGGCTCGGTTAAGGGATTTTTTTGGTTTGGGGTGGGGTTTTTCACTTTGTAAGGGACAGGCTGGGAGGAGTTAGCACAGAGGTGAACGGAGCGCTGCTGCCAGACAGGGACGACTGGTGGCTGACTGTATTTAGGAGAAAGTAGCCACATAACATACAGCCAGCGATCCCCAAAACAGCTGGAAGTGACGGAGCAGCAGCATTCACCCAAAAGCAAGGATAAATATGCTTTATTTCCCTAAGACAGCTAAGACTATCCTCCTGAAAGTCTTTCCTTCTATGTTGTGGCCTTGTAACATCTGAAATTGTAGTAGGAAGGAGTGAAATTAGGGGGGAAAAAAAAAAAAGAAAACTCCCACAGAAGAGATGAACAAACTCTCAGTGGGGACACAGCTTTTGCCTCTGGGCAGCCTGGGAACCCAGTGCCCTCACAGCAGCCTCAGGCAGGGAGGAGCTTTCAGAACTCCCCGCCTGACGAGTTACACCAAGCTTTATAAAGGCTCCTTACCTGAGGCTTTCTTTACTACATCAATTGAGGTATAGTGGCAGAGCGCTGCAGCAGCTAGTGTTCTGTACTGGAAGTCCAGAGAGTTCACATCCAGAATACACAGGTCTAAGAGCTGAGGGAAGAACAAGTGGAGAAAGCAAGTTACAAACCATATAATCCCATCTCAGAAGCCGCTGTGCGTACAGCGGGCCTCCCACAGGCCACGCTCTGCAACGCAGCTCTGCCTTTTAGCATCCGTGGTACGCAGCCCTTTTATTTTGGGGCAGCAGCTGCAGCTGAAGCGGGTGTCGCAGAGTTAGGAAGCGAACCAGTCTGCAGTCTGACCACTGAAACGCAAGACACTGGGCTCGCACAGGTTTGAGTACACCTCGAAGCTCCTCCCAGAGCTGCGGGACAGCACCCGATGGCTCAGTGACTCGGAGAACTCTGCTCTCCAGGAAGCCTCTCCGAGGCTGGACATGCCATGCGCCCATTCAGAACCGAACCACAGCAGCGTCAGAACAGACCAAACAGCCCGCAGCCCGCCTGCCAGGCGGGTGCACAGAAACACGGCGACACATAATACAGGTAAACGGAGTTAACCGCCCACAGCACCTTAAATTATCCACCCTCCTCTCTCAGCTGCTGCTGCTGCTGTTTACAGAACGCTGTAGTGCATTTGTATTTTTCCAGTGTACAGAAAAAGTCTTAAAACATGTCACAGTGGGGAGACAAACACATTGGTGCTTGTCCTCAAACTTCATAGAGTCAAAACCTGGCTCGCACCGTCCTTAAAGTAACAGGTGAGGTGAAACAAGGAAAAGCATTGACAGCTTCTGGGGTGTAGCGTTCAGTTGTGGGGTAACGGCCCCAATAAGCATTTTTCCGATACAGTTTGTGACCCACCTGTGCTATCTGAATGAATTTTTCCTGAGAATACTGAGGTAGCAGCACTTTGGGAACATCCTTCAGAGCATCCACTTGAAGATAGAGGTTCAGCCAAGAGATGATTGTCACGGGGCAGAGTTCCCATTTCAAAGCCTGCGAATATTAAACAAACATTAAAGCACTTTAAACCCCACAAGGAGAGTTTGGTGTCCTGATCTCTTTTCCTATGCCACCCCTCCCAAGTTAGCTCGGCTTACTGTCCAGGTCCTGGAAGAACACTGGAGATGGTGTACAATTCCAAGCACAGATACTCATTTTGGATCACATTTTCACTACTTTCAGAACAGGCTACACTGCAATCAGCAGAAAAATGCACCTATCTCAAGCCCCTTTCCTATGCCTGTGCCACTGGATCTTAGGTGTCTTTCCCATTTGGAAGGTAGGGAACTAAGGGTATTCCAGGCTCAAGGCCTGAACACGCAACTAGTATCTATCAACAAAGGGTAAATGCGTAAGGAGATCCGTGATGGCAAAGACTGATCCTTTCCAACACCAGATTCCTTCAGATACCCCCATCCCTGGAAGTGTTCAAGGCCAGGCTGGATGAGGCTTTGAGCAACCTGGTCTAGTGGAAGGTGTCCCTGCCCATGGCAGGGGGGTTGGAACTAGATGGTCTGTAAGGTTCCTTCCAACCCAAACCGTTCTGTGATTCCATGAAGATAAAGGCCCAGCTGGACAGTCTTTCAGCCGGCACTTACACACACAGCAGCGTTATTACCTTTAACATAATAAGTTCCATCCTTACGATATCGTCTTCACTGCAAGCACCATCAGTGACGTAAGCAAATTCCTGTATTTTAGGAGCATAGATTTCCTTTAAAGGGAGAGAGGGGGAAAAGTGAAGGTTAAGAGTGCCTTACAAGTCCAAGAAAGCTTGAGAAGATACCGGCAAATGCCTTTCAGTCCACAGTGGAATATTAACATTTCTTACTCTAGAACAGTGTTTTTTCTCATTATATGAAGTGACTTGGAACTTAGAGGATGAGGAGATGTAGAAACAAGTAGGTTTTATGGTACCTGTTGTAAAACACCATAGATTTATCCCAACTTTTTTAGCTTTTGGGGAAATAAATGCTGACCAGGCAATCAGCACAGCCCTTCACATATACCTCTCCCTGCTCAGCTGTTCCATTTGCTGTAAAGACACCACCCCGGTTCTTGCACCGCACGCTGCGGTATCAGAAAGGGCTCACCGATACAGCACCACACAGTGTCAGTGCTGAGGCAGTTTCACTGGTTAAAACCAACAAAAGCTAGAAAAAGATGAGAGAAAACACACCCCCAGGCACCGCAGGTGGCAAAACCCATGGTGCGGAGATGGTTAACGAAGAAACCTGCCCACCCCGCCATGCCAGCCGGGCCCAGGCCCAGGCTGAGAAAAGAGCTTGCCAGCAGAACTGCTGCTCCGCAGGCTGGCTCCGTGGCCTGACGCACCACGTGCCGCCCTAGGACAGGCAGCTGCTTCCAGCACGCTACCCCAGCTTTAGGAACAGCAGCTAGACTGGGGGGTTCCAAGTATCAACACTTGGTATCCTAAATTTTCCTCACTAGCCTACCAGAGTCGACAACAGCCCCAAAACACGCTCTGCATACCACATCTGTGAGCCCAGCGTACCCTATTGCCGTGGCTGCACTGACTGCGTTACCGCTAAAAGAAAATCCACGCCGCTAAGTGGGTTTAAAGGGCTGTCGGGCAGCCTGAGACGTGGGCT